TGTGCACATTCTTGTGCAAGGGTTCTAGTGAACACCGGCCGGTGGCTTCATGGTGAACCAGCTGGCGTGCCTGGACTTGCTTCTTGGTCCGCTCTTGGACCTGAGCACCTGCTTCATGTACCTGGCAGCATTGGCTGGAGCATAGCCTGCCAAAGGAATGTTACCGTGGCCTACTATTAGACTGTTAGCTCCGGTCTAAGAGCCCTTCATGGCATTGCTTCCATTCTTGTGGTGCGAAAAACAGAATCAAATTTCCTAGAACAGCGCAACCATGCCATCAGCAAGCTTGACTTGGTTCAGTATCCGCAGTGTGCAACACTGCGTAGTTGCCATGCCTTCAGGCCCATCACCTCGGTCTGAGACTCGAAGCCTTTATTCAGTGGGTCTCTTCAATCCGACCTAGCACAAGACAAACCCACACCTGAAACGATACAAGCTAGGCCCGAAGTTCAGCCCTAAAGACCCTATGAAAACTGTACTGAACCACACCCCGTGCCTGCCGGCAGCCCTCGACCAGAAGCTGCCGGCTCTCTCCCGCTGCGCTTCACCTGGCTCTGATTTCTACATCGTCCTGGCCAAGCCTCACCCATTGAGAGGATCTAACGTCATTCTGAGGCTTAACCCTGAGAAGCTTGGACACCTTACGGCAACTTGCAAGACGATAAAACCCTAAAACCCTTGTTTCCCTGTGACCCTCATGACACGCACTCGCCCGGCGCGCATTGCGGGAGTCGGAGGCAGCGGGCACCCAGCACATCAAGTCATATGCCAAGATTCTGCAAAAAGGGCCTTCCGAGGATTCCTGCTGGATCTTGATGGAATTAGAGAGGATTTTAGGCGTCGCTTCGTGAAGTCTCAAAGCTCCTGCTGCTGCAAGCCATGATGTCTTGAGGCCATGCCCCTAAACAGGACGAGCGCATGCTGTTTTCCAGGAGAATTTTTTGTAGGCTGAAGTAGCTAAAAAAGAGTCTCGGTCATGACATGCGGGCATCCATGCCTTTGCGCTTGCTTTGGATACGCCCTTGCGCGTCGGAGGCTTCGAGTGAAGTGAGACTTTGGCTGGCAACGCTGTATAGACCAGCCCTGCATGCACAAGGCGTGAGCCTTGGAGATATATGCAACCTAAATTCGTCAACTTCTTCAACTCTGAATATTGCAAGAAGTTACTGGCTGTCGATAGATTTTTAACAACTTCAGCCAATAAACATGGCACAGCTCAACCATAATGGTATCAAAGAGCTCATGCTCGTGAACCGCCGCCATCGTCTCATCTCCTGAGCTACGCAGACGCTCCCCTTGAACTCCCCGTAGTTCCTGTCCCTGGCATCTTGATCTCCACATCCACACAATTACTTCTGAAAGCAGCCCCTTGGTGGTTTTACATGGTTTAGTCAAGTCTGAGGCATGGACTGCAGACCCAGGAGCCCATTGTCCAGTAGAATCTTCACCTGTGCCAGGGCTCGCAAAGCAACTTGAAGCTGGTGGGCAAGGAGCGGATGACAAGGTGGCTCTTCTATCTACCGACTGCGATGAACTCTGAGATGAGTAGCTGGGCCCGTCTGCTAGTTTAAACTCAGGGGTTCGTTGTAAGGATTCTGGGCCACATGGCCTCTCTCACCCAAGAAGTGGACAGGATAAGTTCACAGAGGTCAAGATGCCTGCAGGAACCTCATTGCTGTTGTACTTAGGCAAGACTGTTTGAGATCAACTGCCCAGATGCTTTCGGAGCAGGCCTTTTGGAAGAGGTGCGGCTTCTGCTGACACAGCTCCTGGGCTCAACCCTAAGTTAGATAGGGTCATCATAAATCGAGGCATCGGGATCTGGTCTTGTCGTCGCGGTCCAGTTCATGTTCTACGTTGCTGAGAACAAGCACGGGCTTGCAGGACATCGGAATGACGAAGACCAACTCCGCTACCGAATGCGCAGCTCTGCTGCAGTCCTTGGGAGACCTAGCTCTAGCAGACCCTCCTGCATTGACAACTTGTGCTTGAGACCTGAAGTCTTGAGCTCATCTCCCTCAACCGTGGGGAAGTAGTGCTTTGCTCCAAGCCACAACTTCCTACGCCCAAACTGCCCTAAAAATCTAATCCTCATGCCCCAGCACTCCAACTCCAGCACCCTCTTAAACTACTCTTTCAACCCTGTCCCCAAAACCCTCAGGTTGCTCTGGGCACCCAGGCGTGCATCTCGAGAGGCTTTCCAGCATAGAGCTCGGAGATCAATTGCTGCACCTCAGGATCCTCCACATGGGATTCCAGCTACTCCAGCTACAGGCGGCACTTCGGTGGTCCCAAAGGTCTTCCATCACGAAATTCGTAAAATTTACGCAGAGCTGCGTGCAACGGCCGGACTGGTCCTGGAAGGCCTTCGCGACCTTCGGGTCATCGAGAGGTGAAGCCTCTGCCAGATCTCAAGGTTTTAACTCCGGGATGATCCTCATATCGGGATTGTGCTGCCTTCTCCAAAAACCTGGCAGATTACTCATTCGACTGTTACATTGGAGACACTAGCAACTTCGAGTCTTGCATGTTTCTGCTTCAGCGCAGGCATTTCGATTGGTACACCCTTCTCTCATTTTGCTGGGCGCGAATGCCGGCGTCCACAGAGCCAACGACACGGCCCTGAATGTGACGTTTCACATGTAAGTGGCCCTGCCTCTCATCTCATGCAAGACATGTGCAATATCATGCCAATGCTTAAGAGAAATTATGCTGCACACATCGTGTGTCTCCCTCTAGGCACCACAAGGTATGAACGAGACATGAAGACCGGATTGCGCCTGTGCTGGGCTTGCCTGTGCTGGGCTTGCCTTTGCAGGAACCGAGGGCCTTGGATGAAGCCGAGAGCCCAAAAAGCTGAAGGCCTCTGGAAGCCACAATTGAACCCTGCATAGACCAGGGATCAATAGGGGCAATCGTTCTGTGCGTAGATGCTCAGAAGCCAAGACAGGCAAGGAGCTAAGTCCCTAACCCCAACCGACGTTGCAAGGTTCTGGACTAGGCTCCGGACGCCTTTGCGGCGTAGCCAGCTTGGGGCTTGCCAGGACTTGGGGCCTGGAAAGACTCCAACTGTTGGCAACTCCACATGCATGCCCCCGTACGGGTAAACATGATTGTGCATGTGGGGGTTGAGAGAGGGCCCCCCCTCATCTGATTCTCAGAACCGGTTGCTTTGCCTCCTTACTCAACACGTCGAAATGAGTGGCCATGAGAGAGCTGAAGTCCTGCGCACGAGCTTTTCAAGGGTGCCGGGAAAGGGCAAGCTGTAGTTCCAGCATGGCCAGGCTAAGAACTGCCAACCTGCATGAACTTGGTGACCTCAGCGTCATTGGCATACCTTCTCCAGGCCAGGCGTGGTTAAATTTTGTATCGTCAAAACTGAGAACTGACGGACCAAGATACAACCCTCCAGACAAGGCTTGTGACCCTGCAAGACAGGGTCCTGCCTGCGCTTGGCCTCATCCGGGGCAGTCTGCATCAGGGCCATCGCCTGGCGCTGTGCGACTGATGGCCACGGAGCCTTAAGAAGCCTTTGCAGGACGCTGAAGCATCAACATCTGGATGAGTGGATTTAAGAAGGGAACTTTCTGGATTCGGGTCTATCTGCAACTCCAGCATCAACAGCCTACCTCACCTCACCCCTTAATTCGGTGCTCCACACACCCGCCTCCTGGATCTTCGGATCCGACAGCGCCTCGCAAGCTTTCATGCAACGGATCTTCCCTGAGTCATACCTGGCAGCCCTTGCGCACCGATGCCCGATGACCCTGAAAACTCTATGACGGCCATATTGAACCCGAAACCACACATCGAGGTTACCTGCTACAGGTGCCACTCTTCGACTCTTCACCGGTTGTTGTGCTTCCTGGGAAGAGCAAGCAGCACGATAGAGCCAGCCACTCGTATCAGTCTTATCTAAGTGACCCACCGGGCCGAGCCTTCAGCAAGTCAGGGCGCGACTGCATGGCCGCCATCAGCTGCGGAGTGATCCATGACTGCGCAGCGCGGTAGTCGACTACATGGGAGTTTGACCAAAGTACCGAATCCGAAAGTTACCCCTATATTTCCGTTGCACACCAATCAGAACCCCTAAAATAACATTTCAGAAGGGCCTTTAGCTCAACCCCCATCTGCGCTCACTCCGCCGCTCGGGCAGATTTGGTGGCTTCTGCAATTTAATGCCTCAGGTTTTTTGGGGATTGAGACTCGGGCACCTGGGCTCCAGTTCCACTGCGAAGTCTCCCAGGATGGGTTAGGCATACTAGGTGTGAGGGCAAGCCCTCACTTGTGACGATAGGATCTTCTCACTTGTGACTGTTTTTTTTTTCTCACTTGTGACTATAAAATCTTCTCACTTCTGACTTTTTTAAGCTCACTTACGACTATAAATTCTAAAAAACGTAGCTCCCGCTCGAGAGCGGTCAAAAAAGATCCGTGTAAGACTGGGGGGCACCACCTCGCAGGACACTGCCCATCGCCTTTCATAACTCAAATTCCCCAAGTTCCGTGCCACAAAATCAGAAAATCACTTTGGCACAGCCTGGAGCTTTGAGGTTTCAGTTTCAGGTGTCTGAGGGGGTTGAGGGTTTCTGCTGTAGGGCTGGTGATGGTGTGGTTCAGAGCTTCTGGGCTTTGGAGCCTTAGAGTCTGACACTCGACAGCCGGCGCCTGGTCCTCCTTCAGCCGGGACATACCCTGCATGGCCTGCTGCACCTCACTAACGTGCTCAGGGGCGCAGGGTTTTGGGGCCCAACCGCAAGCTACAGCGAAGAGAAGCAACATGTAGTTTCATTTGACAAGCAGTCGTTTCGAACAATTTCAAACACGCAGATGCTTAGCCATGCAAGGTGGGTCGCGATGCAGGATTCCATTGTGCACCAAAACAAGTTCAGACCGAGTTGAGGCTCCCTTCTAACTTTTGTACTGTGAGTGACAGCCAATAATGCAGACATTTGTTATTGAAGCTTTACACCTGCATGGTGCTTGCTCAGAACAGGTCTTGCGTGGCCAGCATGTCGCCAAGGCCATGTTCTTTCTGTTCTCGGGTCATGGATTGGTCAGAGTACGAGCGTTTCGGAATCACGGAGGATGCAAGTCCTATCAGTTCTATCTTGATCGAAAACTCAAACATGTGTTGTGCACAGGCCATGCATGCTGCACCTCCGGCATTTGCAAGCTCATTCGCTTGGCTTCCTTGCACAAGAGCGTCACGAGGGTCAAGAGTTTAGGGTCTGCGCTCTCTCTCTCTCTCTCTTACTTGGTAAGGCCGCGCAGCGCGCCATTAGCAGATCAAAAGGTGTCAAGGTACCGGCAAAGCACATAAGTCGTTGGTATAGGTGGTGCCCCTGGCCTGCGCAGATCCAGCGCCCGCGATGAAGGGCACCTCCTCGGGGGGGTGCTCTAGGACTCTAAAGGGCTCTGGGTTTTGGATTTGAAGCTCCTGGCCAAGAAATCTTGACTCGACTCCACTTGGCAACCTCTGCAAGAAACCCTGTCCTGGCTTGGCTCCTTCTTGCTGTCGCTGTTGGTGGAGGCCTACTGGTAGCAGTTTGGATCCCGGGCTTCTTCCGGGGTTTCGGCTTCCTCTACCCTGATATTGATTTTGCCCAAAGTTTGCTCAGTCTACTCTCATGTTGTGCCGCCACACCAAGCAGCCCAGTCAGCACTTTCGGCCTGCTTGGTCTCCGTCTTCTCGGCCTTCTTCTTTGGAGCCTGGGGTCTAGCTCTAGGAATTCTGCGCAGAGGCCTCCATCAAGGCCTCAGCCCCAAACAGAAAACCCCCAAAACTTCCAGCTTCATCTCAACCTTTCATCTTAAACCCTAAACCCTAAACCCTAAACCCTAAACCCTAAACCCTCCATGATCTCGAGGAAGCGCTGTCTGCTTGAACTCCCTGAACCTGCACCGCGCGCCTTTGCGCCGCCCAGGAAGCCCTTCTTCAGGCCGCCTCCAAAGCCCTGGTCTGTCTTCTTCCGGGCCTGCCAGGGCTTAAAAGGGTAGGGTGGGTCACAAGTGGGTCATATTTAAGTTGGTTTAGGGGGGGGGCCTCTTGTGCTGAGAGCCATGGGGTGTTGGGAGCTTTAGGGTTGTCTCCTTTCATCTGGCGCCTCCTCCGTCTCCTTCTTCTTCTGCTCCCGGGCGGCCAGTGCCTTCAGGGTCTGGGGGATGCTTTGGGGTTATTTCGGCTATTTGGGGTTAGAGGCCACTCCAGTCCAAAGCTCAGGCATTGTGAAAGCTTTTTCGTAGCCACCCAAAGGCCTTTTGCATCAGGGTCTCGGCCACGTCATTCTTCTCCTGAAGGTCTTCAGGCGCTGCGTCGCCCTTCTCCTGCTTCTCGGCGTGCGTGGGAGCTCGCCTGCGGGTGGCCTCCAAGGGGGGAGGAAGATCGTCTTCCTCGGACACCGCCATTCGGACAAAGCACTGATGGGAGCTTGGCGATCAGATTCTGTGTACAAAGCTTGGGGTAAGGCTGGATATTGCGCACAGGCTCAGTACGGCCATGAACAATGGTTAGAGCATTGAGCCAACGTCAACTGGACTTGCAATTCGCGCCAGGGTGCAGAGTGTGTGTGTGTGTGTGTGTGTGTGTGTGTTGGTTGGGAAGGGTTAAAAGAAGAAACCATGCAGATAGGTAGACATACAAATACCCATGCACATGCAAACACACATATGCAAAATACGTTCAGGAAACGAAGACACCCTGTAGACGATGCATACATGAACTTAAGGACGGTGCGAGCTCTGACCAGGGGCGACGTTGTGAGTAAGCAGGCTTGAGCAAGGACTGCCTTATCGAAATGAGAATTCGAACTGTTTCCGGGACTAGTTTGCGCTATGCGTGACGATGGATTCTTCGAGGTGAAACTTCGGTCGAGAAGTTCCACACAGCACTCCAGGTGGCCATCTAATTGACAGGCAGCTTACCTGTGTCTCTCAGCCTCTTCGGTGCTATCAAGGAGCACGTGTTGCGCAAACTGCTTTAGCTGATCAGTGTACTTAGGTCCGCAGGGTATGCATCTGTTGGCGGCGAGACACGCAGGACAGCTTCCAACTGCTCGTTCATGGAGCAGCTCACTGCAGGTGAACTGAGCTACTCAGTCGCTGTGGCGTGCCTCTGTGCCCAGTTTCGAACATCTGGTTCACTTGGTAAAGCAAGTGCTTTGCTCAATGTTGTAGCTCACCCAGCCCTACTTCAAGGACCGAAATGCCTGTGTTGCTGCCTTTGAGAAAGGGAACGCGCCATTCAGGATCCCACTAAGGGGGCGCATGGGCTTGGATAGGGTTGCCCGCTCGTTACGCCTTGACAACAGATACTGGAGAAAGTCCCAACATCCCCAGTGAACCGTTTCCAGAAAGTTTCTTTGCGAATCTAGCCATCCCCCTCTAAACCAACCAACAACTGTCATGATAACCACCTCCCCGTGCTCTTGGAACTGTTGCTCCGAACACATGCACAATGAAGGAGAACCTGTGCTCGTGAGAGGTCATGACCAGACCACTAGAGTTGGCCAGGAACAAAAACAAACCACTCAATGTTGCGACTACTCTTGCTTCCCCACAACTTGGGCAAGGATCGACCAGAAATCGTTACGGCTTCGGTGGTTTACTGCAGCTCCTTCCTTTCTTTCTTTCTTTCTCATTGTTGTTCCTTCTTTCTATGTCCGTTCAAAGGAGAACTAATCTTGAATCTTGTTGAAGGCGACTTCTGTTCTGGCTGTGGTTCAACTTTTTTGATGCTTCTCCCGGAAAACAGCCCAATTTCAACCCTAAACTGTTTTCGGCACCCTACAAACTAGTTGGCAGTAGTATTCAAGCGGAGAAACAACCTGAGCACAAAACTTGCACAAGACTTGCTTGTTCATCTCACGACCGGAAGATCTGCTGGCCCCCCCTGCTCTCACCGAGGCTCCGGGTGTGGCGTCGCCCAGGACGAAGCCGAAGTCGATGTGGAAGTAGTGACCCGCCTGGTCCGGGGAGCTTGGGGTTGGTTTTTCAAACCGCTACAGGCGTAGGGGATTTGACATGTCTACTTTGGAGCTGGGAGTTTTGGGAGGGGGGAAGTGTCGCGGCAATCTCGCATTGTGTCGCCAGTGCAGATTCCTAGAATCCCCTGAGCACGCCCGAAAGCGCACGCTGAATTCTTGAGTCTTTCGTGCTATAGTGGCCCTTGCATCACAGCTTCTGTGCGGGTTTTTCAACGTCTCTTTTGGACAGTAACATGCTATTTCAAATCGTGCTATTCCATACAGATTCATTCTCATAGATCATGACAGCTCGATTATCATTCCCCACCCGACAAGTGGGGTAGTTAGATTTTAAGGACAAAGTGGCACGCATCACGTGGCGCGACACCGTCAGGTCCAGCACAGATCCAGGACAGTACAGCGACACTAAGGAGGTCAGGGAGGCCCAGGCGGGCAACTGTACCGAAGAGCCGCCACACTAAGCAGGCCAGGGGGCTCAGGTGGGCAGACTGTACCGAAATGTCGCCACACTCAACAGGCCAGGTAGACACTAAGCAGGCCAGGGAGGCACAGGCGGGCAATTGTACCGAAATGTTGCCTTACAAAACAGGCCAGCACGCTCAGGCGGGCGACTGTACCGAAATGTCGCCTTCTAAGAAGGCAAGGGAGGCTCAGGCGGGCAACTGTACCGACATGTTGCCATACTAAGCAGGCCACGGAGGCTCAAGCGGGCAACTATACCGAAGTGTCGCAATACTGAGCATGCCAGGGCGACTGAGCTGTACCGATGTTGCCTTGCTAAGCAGGCCAGGAAAGCCGAGGACCGACATGTCGTTTCCATACGGGGTTTGATCTAGGTTAGGGTCTGCATGTCGTCATACTCCCAAGGGGCTCCTCGATCTTGTAGAGTTGACGTTTGAAGAACACGGTGGGGATTTTCGGAGTGAGAATTCTGTTGATGGGTTGCATAGTCACTTATTAGGGGCCTACGAGAGAGGTATCTTTGAGAATATATGATCTAGGTTCTTTGATCCTTTTTTCGAGTTTCATCCAATCGGCTAGAATATTTCATAACGTAGAACTATTAGATGGGGGTCACTGGTATTAGAATATCATATCAAATATTGTCCCTGCACGGTTGCACAAGGGCCGTGCGGAGCCTCCCTATTCTTGGACATGCTTCCGTCTAGTTCGTGGAGCTGAGCCTTCGGTTCTTTACCTCAAGGTATACGGTTCTAATTCACGAACTTCCCACAAGGCACCAGTATGGTATTCTTGCAACTCATCGGGAGGCTGTCATAGGTCATAGTCCTAGGATCCCCTAGGATCATCGTCCTTCGTCATCATGATGTTGTCCAGATGATGGTCCCCGACTAGCAGGTACGTGGCCACGCAGAACCTTAAATGCTTCATGCGTCTCCAACCTCTCAAGCCACAGACCAGTTCGTGAATTTGGAAGCGACGGTGCAGAGTATGCTCAGGCATACAAAACGGGCTGTAGCAGCAGGAGTCTGTGAGCTGAAGCTACATGCTTCCGAGATGCCCAGCCGTGCTGCCCCGAAGAGGTGGAGCCCCTACCTCCAGTGGCTTCAACCAAAAAAATGCAAAGCGAGAACCCCTTTGGCCAGGGAAAGCCATGGACAACACCTTTTGTCCTTGAAGGTTGTGCATTAAGCTTTGAGTACAGGCGCCAGCTTCAGGCTGCCAGAGAGGCGTTGAAGCCGCAGTCGTACAAAAAGGCACGGCCCTTGCCAAAGTCTCAGTACTGCACCTGGTGTACCAGGGTCCGGCGCCTGCTGTACCAGGGTCCGCTCCACTGCAAAGCACTGCGCTTCGCGCATTGCCTAAACCGGGTCGCCTCGGCTGTGATTCGCACCGCGCATCATGTACGCAGCAGAAGGAAGGTGGGGCATGCGGTCTCAAACTCTGGAGACTGCCGCGCGGCCAATGCAAAGCACTGCGCTTCGCGCATCGCTTCGTGCATTGCCCACGGAGGCTGTTACTCGCAGTACCGTACAGACTGCGTATCATGCGGTCTCTAATTCTGGACCTCTCGACCTACGGAAGTGAGAGGCGGAGAGAGGTGTGGAGCATTCAAGCCTGCCGAATCAGTGGCAGCGCTTGCGAGCTCTGGTGCTAACTACAATGCTGCGACGTCCTAGAGATCTGACCCGTCCAGCCGTCCAGCAAGGGTAGGCGCATCCGAAATTTACAGGAAGCTGTTGAGGCTCATGGCCTGTTCTTCGTTGACCGCAAAAAATCACTTGCCATGCAGGCGAGGACACGTTCTCCGCTACAAGCATTAACATTGATACCGTCGATAGGGATATACAGCGCTTGCCCAGACTAGGATTAGGTTAGGGTTACAAGCTTCCCTGCATGTCTACCCAATTTCTAAACCCTACTTCCGATGCCTCAGCAGCAATGGCTAAACGCCCTTGCGTGCTGGATGGAGTTCTGGGCACATCTGCGATACCCTCACCTGCTCGAATTCTGAAGCTCTTCAACCGAATTAGGTGCATGAGTTCCAAAAAATCCGCGCTGGGCCTCCGTGGCCATCTGCTCCTGCAACGGATGTGGGCAGCACGTGGCATGCAGACTCCGCTCTGGGACAGGAGCATGCGCCGCGACTGCACGCACCGAAAGCAACTCTTCTAGGGTAAGAGAGGATCCCTGCCCTCAAAGACGCCCAAATGAAAGCAACAAGCAGAGTACTATTCATCTTGCGCATCTTCTTGTAAGAACAAGAACAATACTGAAGCAAGTTGGTAATCGATGCTGCTGCTGTTGTAATGTTGTAGTTGCAGCAATGGCCCGAAGCATCCTTCACGTCTCACTGTAGAAGCACTCGTGTCAGGCAGCGCTTGGGTTCGACGAACTGCTTCAGCAATGTGCCCGAGTTCACGTCCCAGAGCTTGAACTGGTGGTCCTACAGTGACATTGTGAGGCATTTCGGGCTTAGAAACTTACGAAGTTCGCAGGTGTAGGGCCCGAGTGATGGTGCAGATGGGACGAGGCGGGAGGAGAGCATCATGAGCATCATGAGCTTCAGTTGGGTGCTTTTCCGGTCAGACCTCCTAAGCTCCAGACACTTGCAAAACCCTTCGCCCCAGTGATTGCGCAGATGGGACGCGTCGGGAGGCGAGCATCATGAGCATCATGAGCATCATGAGCATCATGAGCTTCAGCTGGGTGCTTTTCCGGTCCTCCTGAGCTCCAGACGCTTGCAAATCCCTTCGCCCCAGTGATTGCGAAGATGGTTACGCAGATGGGACGCGGCGGGAGGCAAGCATCATGAGCATCAAAAGGGTGCTGTTCCAGTCCTCCTAAGCTCCAGGCGCTTGAAAAACCCTTCGCCCCAGTGATTGCGCAGATGGGACGCCGCGGGAGGGGAGCATCATTGAGCATCAGCTGGGTGCTTTTTTGGTCAGATGGCCTCCAGAT